AGTACAGGGGGAGAAAATGGCCCCAAAAGGCAGGATCAGTACTGCTGAACACAGCGATGAGGAGAAGGATGAGCCATAACAATCTAATGAATATTAAGTGGCGTACTGTAACTCAAATATGACGGAGGATCATCCAGTATTGGGAGAGAAAGTGCCTGATAAAATAATGCTTCTGTCTAATATTTTCACTGCTTGAGTAGCTAAGAGGAGAGAAACGGCGTTCGATTTTAACAAGGCCTTCGATTTATGGTCATTTTGGAATAATATTGATGAGAACATTACCCCTTTGTGATGGTTTATGTTTATGGGTAATAAAAATAAAATATAGGCTAAAGTAAGTTAAAACAGTATTTCCCAAAGCAGGAAGTTGGATTTATGCGTGGGCATGGTGACAGATTAATCTCCGCATCATAAAGAGGAAAGTAGCACCATATTTTTCCCTTTTTATATGGATGTACAACATGCTGTTCTGTTCAAGGCCAGCCCACAGGGACCTCCAGCAAACCCAAGGGGAACTCTCTCCTCAATTGAAACGATGCAATTTACTGTCCCAAACGCTGGCACTCCATCATTCAGAGGACTTTAACCCCATGAATGTCAAACACGGCGCACGCTAGAGGAAAGAGATGGAATGCCCCGCATTACCATAACAACTACAGCCAATTGACAATCACTCAGGAGCCCAAAAGGTGAAGAATAATACCACATAATCACCCAATAACGATTGAATTCCAGAGGTGAGCTGTGATGACACACATTTTTTTTGGGGAGGGTGGGGAGAAGAAGAAAAAGGAAAAAGCTCAAATCTCAATAAGAAGTGACCATCCCCAGCTGTTTCCCAGCAGTAGTTTTAAAGGTCAGAGGAAACCCATTGGTTGTATTTTTAAAACTTGTCCCAGTTTCATGGAACGTGGAAACAAGAAGCCGGCGTCACCTCGGAGACAAAGCCCAGGCGGCGCTGCAGGCGTGCAGCAGCATTAAAGTTTCACACTACAGCTGTTCCCCTCTGCAGGGTGGTGTTGCTGCTGCTGCTGCTGCTGCTGCTGCTGCTGCTGCTGCTCCTGACCCGCCAGACATAGCAACTGCACACTGGGAAGGTATTAGTTTGTGCTTTTTATTAATTCATCGCGTCGAGCCGAATCTGCAACTTCATGAACCAACAGCTTCTCCCACGTTTCCTCTCATCTCTCCCTCCCTGACACATCTGAACCTGGCTCAGTGTGTGCCGAGCACCAAGGCTGTTTAATTATACAGCAGTCTGCCACCGAGGTCTGCTTTTAATTGTGGGCATCTGTGTGTCATGTGTGTGTGTGTGACGTGTGCGTGTGTGCCTGCAGTTGTATAGGTCGCAGGCAACTTCCAAATGAGAACTCCTACAGGCTCTGCTGGAAGAGCTGCTCCCTCCACACATCTACAGAGCCGCCAGAGTTTGATTAATATTTTCTTAATTATCATTATTTAATTCGGCAAATCCACAGCTCCTTCCATGGAAGTGTGGCCTTTGTCTCTGTGATGCTGTGAGTCCCAGCTCATTAAGAGTGCGGAGAGAGATCCTGTGTATGGTAAATAAGAGGCTGTCTTCTGCCGCTGCCCCGGGGAAAGTTGGCACCACAGTGAAGGACATGTCTTCTTCTGAAGAAGAAGAAGAAGAAGAAGAACGGAGCAGCGTGGATGTTTCTCTGCTCAGACCGCAGAGCTGGATCCTCCGCCCCTGGCACCGTTAGGCCCCGCTTCCTTTCATGAGGCTCAAACCGAGACAACAGCACACACGCCAGGCAGACGAGGGGATGTGCACTCGTCAATTCCACCATGCCTTTGTGTCAGTGATTGAACCGACATGAGAAAACAGAAAAAGGCCCGTCTCCTCCTGAGCTCCGGCTGCAGCCGGTCCATCCACGGACGCGTCAAGAAGTTTATAAAAGAGCTTTGTGGACATGCAGCCCGTTCGAGGGCTGTGAAGATTCCACTTCCTGTCATCTGGAGAAACCAAAGAGAATCTTAACGAGGTTCCCTGTGATTTCAGCCACTTTGAGGCAACATTTATTTAATTGGTGGGGAGCAGATATTAATTGCACTTTGTTAATCAATCATTTTTCTGGTTCTCGTCACAATCGGGTTTGTTAAGAAGCCGCCGCCTGCAGACACGACTCCATTTTTACGTAGTTTATCAGATCAGCAGTATTTGATGCTCAGGGCTGGACGGGATGCTGAGTTTTCTCTTTGCTTGAAGCTTCCTCTTTCTATCCACCTACTGAAGGGATGAGAAATACCCCCCCGGCAGGGAAACTTAGATGCTGAATATCCACTGTCTTCAGTGGGTCCACAGAGACTGTAGTCCCCCCCCCTCACCCCCGTGTCTGTTTTCCCACTTGATCCTTACACAAAGGGAAATTTCCTGACGGAGGAGATTGTTACGATCCACTTGTTTTGACCAAACGTCTGACCCGGGACACGGGGGTTTCTGCTTCACGCCACACAGAACACATATATGCACACCGTGTGTGAACAGTTTAATCTTTTGATGAGCCTTCATGGCCTGCGGCCAGATGCACTAATGATAATTTTCTGTGAAGTGCTTGTAATGGTCTGGCCCTGGCTTGGGAAGCTCCTCCGTTGTTTGCTCACGCCACTGGATCAGTTTTGGCGTGTGTACTTTGCGTCGACGATGATAATATACCAGGAAGTGTGAAAGGGAGGAGGAGGAGGAGGAGGAGGAGGAGGCTGGTCTTT